ATTTGGGGCCCCTTCCTATCCTGACTGGGTCTCCAGATGCCTTGCCCTGGTGCCTTGCTGACTGCATGCCAATCCTGTTTCTAGAGCTCTCCATCCAACCATCTCTCAACACCATTCTCATCCCTCCTCATTTGAGGTCCCCGGCAGGCTCTGCTACTCTCACCCCGTCTTCACAAGGTAAGCTGAAGTCCATCTGCTAAGGGTTAGTGGACTGTTTTCAGTCTGAGTGTGTTTGCTGTTTACACTGAGTATTTTTAGTATGTGTACAGACATCTTACAATACAGGAATGGTCACTTTTATCAGATGTGTTGCCTACATTTAATGTCTAAAATGCACATTGGGAAAGCCAAAGAAATAAGTGTGGCTGGTATAGGCAGATAAAACAAAAAGTTGGGATTTGTTGCCTACCTTTGAAAGCTGGGGCCATTTCCTTTTTTTAAAAAAAAATAAAATAATCTAGATTTCCTATTTTCTTGGGAAGAACAACGGATCTGGCAACAGTAGGCAGACTTACCTCCCTTATGACTGTAGTTGGCTCCAGCTCCCCCTTCTCTGGGGCTTGCTCTCTGGCGTCATTCACTTAGTCTCCCATTCACTTTGGCATTTGAGTTTGCAACCCTGGACCTAAAGGGATTATTCTCAACTCTTACTGTACTGCCTGCCTCGATTGCTATTCCTGGGAGGGTCAGAAAGGCAAAACCTAACTGACTCCCCTTCCTCCCTCAGCTTTAGGTGAGCCCCGGCTGGGCTCAGACCGGCAGCCGACCGATGCCACGGCTACCCTCACTAACTCTTCCTGAGGGCCCTATCAGCTACCCTTCCATTCGGAAGCCTCATGGGGGCTGGGACAGAGGGCCACAGCCTGCCATGGTCCTCCTGCCCTGGCTGGTCCCCTAGACTCAGGGGCAGAGATACATGAATCCCTGTCCCCACCTCCAGTCCCTCCCTCACCGGCTTCACCCCTGCGGTGGGCTTTTTAAGAGGATTTTAACTGGTTGTGGGGAGGGAAGAGAAGGAAGGAAGGGGTTGGGGGGCTCACAGACCTCCTATCTCCTCAACCCCCTCTCCTGCCCCCAGGTCTCCACCTCCTCCAACCGCCCCTTCCCCTCCTTTATCCTTTGTAAATAGAACCAGCCCAGCCCCTGCCTCCTCTGCCCTCCCTGGTCCCCAGGTGTAAATAGATTGTTATAATTTTTTTCTTAAAGAAAAGGTTGATTCGCACCATCCAACCTAGCCCCCTTTCCATTTCCAGCTGTGTCTCCCCTCCTGTCTTCTGCCCCTAAGGTCTCCTCCCTCTTCACCCCAACCTGGAGGACAAGGGGAGTGGGGAGCTCCTAATTGTTTTAGTTTCCACTGTAAGGTTTGCCTGTGTACAGACCTCCGTTCAATAAATTATTGGCATGAAAACCTGCTTCCTCTTTGACAGTCTGTTTCTGCAGAGGGAATGGTACCCCTGGGGCGCTCTGGGCCAGGGTGGATACACTACTTCAGGCAGGGGACAAGGTGCAGAGAACCAGCCTGGACTGGCATGAAGCCTCTGTCCCAGCTTTCTCTGCAAAGCACAAGAAGCATGTTCAGGCCAGCTTTAGGCACTCCAAGAGGCTTGGGAGGCATCTGCACCAGAGGAGGGTTGTTATTCCCGGTGAAAAATGGGAATCAGAGATCCCAAAGCCATAGTGGTAGTAGCAGTCAGGGCTTGAACAAAGGGCTCTCTGCCTCAGAGCTGAAACTGTCTGCCTCTGCAGGTGCTGGGGGCTAAGGGATCACTGAGGTTAAACCACCTGGCTGGAGCCCCTGGACATGGACCAGGGGCAGAGCTGCCTTCCCTGAGCCTTCATATTGTTACCTTACACAGGGAGCTACACAGTCTGTTCACTAGGTTGTCATAGGGATCCTGGGAAGATTCGGGCAGAGAGCTTGGCTTTGTACCTCACTCTTAAAATATGCCAGGGGTGTCGGATGGCAAGAGCAGAGCAGAGGGGCCTGGTATCTGTCTGCTCCACATGGTGACAAGCAGTGGGCATGGCAGCAGGTCCCAGAAGTGAAGAAAAAGGAAACACATTTGTGATGTGTAGCAGAGGGACTATCTGAGGTCCCTGAGTTCTCTGATGTGCCCCAGGCAGAGCAGCTCCCCTGCTCAAGATAGACACTGTGCCCCCTCACCCAGCATTGTCAGGATCTGCCCTTGTTTGTAAAATACTGTATAGCGACCACAGGGCTGGTCTCAGGTTCTCACACCCAGTGGGTCATCAGTTCCTGCCACTTCAATCATAGTGTGCTGTCACCCTCTTTCCACTCTTAAAGCTTCTGTGGCAGGTCTGTTCTCTCCCTCCTGGACCATCTTCAGACTCCTCCTGCCCCTACATTGACCCCAGAGTGACCTAACATCCAGTTAGGACTGCCACCCCCACTCTAATCTCTTTCTTGGCCCTGACTGCCCTGAGCTGCTTAGCCCAGCATTCAAGGCTCTCCCAAGTCTAGGCCTCCCATGTTCTCCTGCCTCCTTTCCCTGCCTCTGTTCAACCTCCCTCTGATAAGCCACAGTATTGGTAGCTTAGTGGTAAGGAACTGTGCTGCCAACCCAAAAGTACAGTTTGAATCCACCAGTTGTAACATGGGACAAAAACGGACAGGCAGTCTACTCCCTTGAAATTTACTGCCTCTGAAAACCCGCTGGAGGGTTGGTCGGCTATGGGTTGGTTCTGACTCAACAGCACACAACCACCACCTGAGCATCATGGGCTGCAAGCAGCATGAGAGAAGCCTGTCCTACATGTCCCAAATGTTTCCAGTTAGGAAAAAAAAATGTTTCCAGTTAGGGAGGGACAGACTTCACAGGCCTTCAAGGCCATAACCTAGTGCCATATGACAAAAGCTACTTCTCTAAAACAAATCCTGACTGCTACCCCTGCACTGGTTTCAGGTCTCCATCACTCAGGACAATACTGCTTAGGAACACTTCTTCTGGGGCCTCCTGGGTGCATATCCACAGTACCTCCACATTGCTGTGATACCCTAGGCAAGTCTGTCCCTCCATCTCTTTATACTGAGCTCCACCTCACAGGCCTCTTGTGATCATAATACACATACACCCAAACCCTCTGACTTTAATTCATGGTAACACCCTATTCTTTCCTCCAAGAGATGGCTTATCTCTCTGTGATGGAGCAGCAGGTAGATTTGAACCACTAACCTTGTTAGCAGCCACCTCCTTAACACACTATGGCATTCGCCTGAAAGTTGGCTTTTTTTTTTTAAGTCATTACAGCCGCCTCTGGTCTCCAGCTACCTTAACTGCAGACACATAAGTCTTGCAAATTATCAACAGCTGTGGGACTAGAGGATAAGAGAGTGTGCTTCCCACATTCGGCAGCAAGACTTCAGGTGAGCAAGGCTTGTAGTGGCAATACCCTAGTGGTAGAGACTGTGGCACTGCTGTGGAGAAACAGTGGCAAGGTGTGACCTGAGGATTCTTTATTAGTTCTGGCCACTGTGAAAGGTTTGGCTGTTCTTACCAGATGTGTGGAGAAGCTGACTTACAAACTCCATTCTTGGTACCATAATCCTTGAGTCTGTGAATCAGCAACGAATAAACAAACCTCTTGCTGCTGTTGGGGCTCTAGAGGCACCATGGGGCTGGGCTACAGGTTATCTGCTTTCTGCTCTGGGGCGCTGAGGGGCTGTGCTATTCTTATTTCTTCTAGTCCTTTCAGAGAGATGCTCATGGTCCTGTGACCCAGTGTCCTCATTAGACACATGTGTTTAGTGGGATCATGATCTGAGTGGAGTGCATGCCACAGCCAGGTAGCGTACTGCCAAACCGAACTTGTCATCAAGGTGACTGAACTCGTGGCAATTATATAGCAGAACAGAACTGCCAGAGTTTCCAAAACTAATCCTATGGTAAGGAGTTCCACTGCCATTCCAAAGGCACGTAGTTCAAACCACTAGCTGCTAAAGAAAGATTGGGCCATCTCCTCTTGCGCAATTTACTTCCTCTGAAAACTGGCAAGAGGATCAGATAAGTTGGTTCCGACTTGATGGTATACAACAACCACCACCACCTTTATGGAAGCAGACTGCTAGGTCTTCTGAGAGTGGCTGGTGGGTTCAAACTGTGACATGTCTTTAGCAGCTGAGTGCTTAGGCACTGTGCCACCAGAGCTCCTTCTTAGCTCTGTGGTATCCAAATGTCCCACCAACTCCCCTTATGCAGCGCTGGCTGTGTGGAAAGTCCTTTTCTCCAAGAGCAGGACAACTTTCCCTATGACGTCTTCCGACTCCTAACCTCCCCCTCACAGCCCCAAAATGATGAAAGCTGAGACCTTTTGGTCCTCAGGGCAGAGCTCAGGCCTGACTCGTCTCCGCCCCCAGCACTGCCCAGCATGAGAGAGGGCAGCTTTGGAACGCATGGCCAGGATGAGGATAGGAGATGTTCTGAGACCAAAGCCATCAATACCTCTGGTGTTCCTCCTGGCAGACTGTGGATGCTTCCTGAAGGAAAAGCTTTGTCTACTCACTCCTAGGTCTCCAAAATCCCCCAGTGTAAGGCACAGTCCCTGAGCCTACAGGTTTCAACCTGTCAAAACTGAGATTAAGGAAGCTCAGAGGAGTCAAAGATTTCCCCCGAGGGAAGGCAGAGTAGGATGGGATGAGGATGGAGGTGAGTAAAGCAGAGATCTGAGGTGTCCAGCACAGACCTGGCACAGTTGGTGTGTTCAAGGAAGGTTACCTGATGTTGCCTGCGTATCAGTGATGCAGTGCAAAAATCCTTGATAAATCTCGCTTTGCAACTCAGTAGTGTGACTTAGCTCAGAGCTTCAGCTTCTCAGGTAAAACAACGTGGTAACACAAACCTGACAAGGTGGGTCAGAGGCCAGGGTTGTCCCTGTGATGCGGTAGATGTCACACAGCTCGCCAGAGAGGTGGCAAACCTCCTTTCCAGTGGTACACATACGCACTATTATGACCAAAGCCTTTTATTGTTGTTTGTCAGCTGTCACACATAGGTTGTGTCCAGCTGTAGCAATCCGCCTGCCTCACTGGCCCCCAGTGCTGCCTGACAGAGCTGCAGTGTGTCCTCCAGAGCCAGAGGCTGTGATGTCTCAATGATGGCAATGGTCTCCCCCAGCTCTGTGCACATGATGGTCTGCTGGGGCTCAGGGGGCGGAGGTGGGGCAGGAGGTGGTGACCGGGGTGGCTGGAGGGTTGAAGTCCGGGCTCGGGCATGGACCCGCTGATGCAGGCGCAGACCTGCCATGGCCCGGAACCAGCGACCACAGGTCCCACAGTAGTAGGGGCTCTTGTTGTAGAGGCCTGTGATGGAGAGGCGGGGTGCGCGGGCAAAGGCCACTGGCCACAGGTGCAGGCGTCGGTGCTGCTGCAGGTTGGAGCTCTGTGTGAAGCGCTTGCCACAGTCCAGGCACTGGTAAGGACGCACACCCGTGTGGGTCAGCTGGTGGCGGCTGAGATTGGCCAGAGAAGCAAAGGTCTTGCCACAAGAGTGGCACTGGAAGGGTCTCTCACCCGTGTGTGTCCGGAGGTGGTTTCGCACATGAACCAGCTTTTTGAAGCCCTTTCCACAAACACCACAGCGATGTCGCCGCTCAGGGGGCCCATGGACCGCACGGTGGTGCCGAGAGAGCCGGGAAGCCGAGGCGAAGGACTTGGAGCACTGCGGGCAGGGCAGCTGGGCAGGCGGGGCTGGGGGTGGTGGAGGGGGTGAGGGTTCGGCTGGAGCAGGGGAGGCCGTTGCTGTTGCTGCTGAGCGGGGGGCACCACTCTTGCCAGCGTGTGTGCGCCGGTGGTAGAGGAACTTGGTCATGTTGCTGAAAGTCTTGCCACAGCGGCAGCGGTGCAGTGGGTTGGCAGTGTGGGCCCGCCGGTGGGCCACCAGTGTGAGTTCGGTGCCAAAGCCGCGGCCACAGTCCACACACAGGTAGCGGGCTTCACCCCGGTGCAGCTGCAGGTGCTGCTCCAGCGAGGTTGCTTTCTTGAATACCTTGGAGCAGGTGGTACACTCGTGTGTGCCGCCAATGTGGGCTCGCCCGTGTGCCAGCAGCCTGTTGGCAGAGCTAAAGCTGCGCTGGCATTGGCTGCAGTGGAAGGGGTGGGCTGCTGATGATGCAGGGCCACGAGATGCCCGCTGGTGTCGCCGGTGAGGCCCTGCTGGGGGCCAGTGCTGAGGACAGTCTCCATAGCCCTGGACCCGGCTGGCTGTGGACGCAGCGCCTCCTGCAGCATCACCATCAGTCTTTGTCATCTCCTCTTCCTCTGTCTCATCTTCTTCATCCTCCTCTCCTTCCTCCTCCTCTTCTAGCCCATTATGTTCTTCTTTCTCAAGGGAGTCAAAGTGTGTGCCTTGATGCTCCAAGAACTCCTCAGGGGTGGCGCAGAGGGTCGAGCACTCCGGACATTCATAGGGTTCCATCTTGACTTCGGCTGGAGGCGGTGTCTTGGGAGGTAGAGGGGGTGCCTGAGGCTCAGCCGTGGGTGTGGATATGTGCTGGGCCTTGCGATGAGCCACCCACAGCTCAGGCGAGGGGAATAGCTCCTGGCAATCCCCACACTGGTACTGGATCTGACTTGCTGACTCCCGGAGGTGGGCATCCTGATGGGCCAGAAGCTCGCTGGGGGAGAGGATGAGCTGTTGACACTCACCACACTGGAAAGGCCCATCCTGTGTTGCTGGCATCAGCTCCATGCCTGGTCCCAGGCCCACTTCTGGGGTGCTCAGTGCCTCCTCTTCTGTGGCAGGGGGCACATGCTGCTCCTGGTGTGAGAGGACTTCTTCCAGGGTATTGTAGAGGTTGCCACACTCAGAGCACATGAACTGGTGGTGCTGGAAGAAGAGGGATGAGGCAAGGGCCTCCCCAGGTGTCATCTCAGTTACCCCTGCTGACATTTCTGTCACCTCCTCTGACATCTGTGTTGACATCTCCATCACCTCTGATGACACCTGTGTTGGCATCTCTGCCACTTCAGCCATCTCTGCTACTACCTCCTGGAGAAAGAAGGGCAGGGACTGATGAGAGACCAGGAACTGGAGGAAAAGCAAAACCTCAGGAGGTCCCTTGCCCATCCTGTCACTCACCAGCCTTGATTGGTCAGCAACTCTGAACTTACTGCTTATGCCTCAGTCTTTGATGACTTTTTGACTCCGAAGCCTCTGCCCAATGGCAGCTGGACATCTGCAGGAAAGACACCACCATTTAGCCTGGTCTCTGATGCCATTCTACTTAGCCAGGGAACCAGTTACACCCTTTCTGAGAACATATTGTGCCCTTGCTGGCCCTTGCCTATGTGGTTTCCTCTTTGTGTAACACCTTTCTTCCTTCTCCAAAGTATACACACAGAGGTGCAGCAAAATATTTTAAGAGCACAGGCCCTGGGACCAGCATGCCTGGACTTGAACCTGAGCTCTTCCACTTACTTCCTCTGACCGTCTCCTCAACTGTAAATTGGGGTTAGTAAGAGGACTGACCACAACGTCCCTAGCACTGGGTAAAGGATAGTTAAGGCTACCTGCAGCTCCTCAGAAATATTTTGAAACTCTAGGTCTTTAATGAGGAAGCTCTGGTGGCCTAATGGGTAAGGAGTTGCACTGCCAACCCAAAGGCAGGCAGTCTGAATCCATCTGCTGTTCCACGGGAGAAAAATGGGCTATCTCCTCCTTTGTGACTTATAGCCTATGAAGACCCAGGGAAGGGTTAGCTATGGGTTAGTTCCAACTGGATGGCACATAACAACAGGTCTCTAATAAGGATAATCCCTTTGCTAGTAAAGTTCTCTTTTCTTTTTGTACCAAACTCCTACCCAGTATCTCTTTTAGGAAGTCTCCTCTAATTACAGCTCTATATTCTCAGAGGCATGGGCACTCACTTCTTTTTCCTTGGGATTCCTTTGGCATCCTGTGCCATCTCTATTATGACTAATTACATGGAGTTTGGATAGAGTATGTTTGTATTCCTCCGTGGACAGTTGGCAGCATGGTTGGTCCAATTCATTGTAAGGCTCTATGTGATCAACATAACCAATAACTACTGTCAGGCACTGTCAAAATAGCTCTAACCCATAGCAACCCCATGAACAATAATAGATCAAAATCCTGCTCGATCTTACACCATCCTCGCAATCTCTACCATGTTTATACCCACTGTTGCAGTCACTATGTTGATCTATGGCGTTGAGGATCTGTTTTTAGCTGATCCTACTTTTCAAGCATGATATCCTGCTGAAGGGTGAGGCCCCACCTCTTAACATGGCCAAAGTATGTGAGATGAAGTCTCATCATCTTTGCTTCTCCAGGGGTAGGGATGTGATCGTTACCTCTCAGCTTTCCTCTCTGTGTACCTTCTCCTTTTACAGAGAGGAGCTTGACACAGGAGGAATTGAGAATCTCTTTGGCAAATGCTTCCCCCTCTTCCTGGTCTGGGAGCTTATCTTCTGAATCCAACCCCTACTTTCTTCACTATTAGTGCCAGAGAGCAGGTGGAGTCATTTATAACTTTGCACATAAGAGTTGCTCATATTAAGTTCCCAGAAGTCAGGATTTTAGTCTGTTCTTCACTGATATATTTCGAGTGAAAGGAACAATGCCTAGCACACAAAAGGCACTCACTGATCGAATACTTGTTGTTGTTGTTATGTTCTGTTGAGTCGCTTGGGACTCATAGCGACCCTATGTATAAGAGCCCTAAATGCTGTTCTATCCTGTGCCAACCTCACCATCTCAAACACACTCATTCCCACACTCCACTCACAAAATCCATCCATCTCATCGAGGGTCTTCCTCTCCTGCGCCGTCCCTCCACTCTCCCAAACATGATGTCCTGCTCTAAGAACCAGTCCCTCCTTGCAACATGCACAAAGTATGTCAGATAAAGCTTCAGAATCCTTGACTCCAAGGAGCATTCTGGCTTCACCCTCTCCAGGACAAACCTGTTTGTTCTCCTAGCAGTCCATGGTATATTCAACACTCTTCCAGCACCACAGCTCAAAGGCATCAATTCTCCTTCTGTCATCCCTATTTACTGTCCAACTCTCCGATGCATAGCACGTAATTGCAAAGACCCGTATCAGGTGCACCTTAGGTCTCCAGCCTGATGTTGCTCTTCAGTACTCTGAATACTTACTGACCAAATGATGACCCTCCAGTAAATGTCCTGCAAATACCTGGAAGTTTAATTAGTTTAACAGTCCCTGTGCATGTTCCACTTCCTCTACCAGACCTAAATCTTCTATTAGAATGTGAATTGCCACAATCAGAAGAGGCTCTGCTTCCAGCTCGTGTCCAATAAATCCTCCCTGAGTAAATGATTGACTCAAAACCCAGGAGTCAAAATTTCCTGATTCGCAATATTCCAGCTGTCAGGAATTGGCGAGTTGCCACTGTCCACACACCATTCAACAAGGGATCTTCCTGAAGGAGCCAACCTCTTGTTTCAAGTCCTGATTAGGGAACTCAAGGGTCAGGCCCAGCGGGGCTTGCACAATATAAGCCTCTGATATATGTCCCCTCTAGAAGGTGGTCCCAGAAATTTATAACTTCTTCGTTTACATTCCCTTCCACCCCCAAACTTGGACTGACTACCAGGTGGGGGTGGGGGAGTTGGGCATGTAAGCTTGTCACACAGTAATTTTCCCAGCAAAGAATCCATCTGGAGCTTGGAAGTTAAACTTTCCCGCAACACACTCTTCTCCTACGAGCCTTATCTCCCTTCTCAGGCACCCCAGACCGAGAACTCCCAGCAGGCGATGGGGGCCGGAACGCAAACGTAGTTTCCTGCTACCACACACAACCAATGCTCAGAGCACGAAGCAAGGCGCGCTCACCTTCCAACCCGAGCCGCGCCCGCCCGAGCTCAGGCCCAAAGGTTCTTCCTTCCCTGAAGCCGCCTTCGAGTTCCCTCGGCTCACCTTAGGCGTCCGACGTCCTGCCGAGTCCTCCTTACCAATGGCAAAACGCGCCGTTCTTCACACAGACCCTCTACCCCAGGCGTGTGCGACCCCTCACTATCTACACCTCCCATTGGGCGGCGCCCTTAATCGTGGTGACCAATCAGAACCGGCAGCGGAGTGCACGCACACATGCGCCTGCGTGCTGACGCTCAGGCGTGGTTCGGTAAGTTCCTCCACGCAGGCAAGTCGGCCCCCGAAGGGCGGGGTTTCAGGAGAGAACCTGCGTCTGCGTAGTTCTCTCCAGCCGCTCCTTGCTGTCCTGTCAAGTCTGGAAAGTTAAACAGACAGAAGTAGACAAGTTTGGGTTGCTGTGGTGTATATAGTCAAGTGGGCTGCGGGGGACCTTGATGGATATGTCGTTTCACAGCTGGAGAGACTTAAATTTTATGAGAGCAGAGTTTTTGAACCAACTCACGTAGGCCTCAACTTTCCTTATCAGTGAAATGGACTCAACTGCGGAGAGAATGAGGTCTCACACGTACCAATACTCAACACGGGGTCTGATAGAACGTTAGTATTACCTATCCAATATGGACATCATCATCCTCAATTTGTAAAATTGCTTTCTGGTCGATTTAATAGTGCTTGCGTATTGAATACCCATTGTGTGTCCAGTATGTGATCATTGCCATTCTTCTGTTTTACATCTGAGGAAACTGAAGCTAAGAAAGGGGTAGGGACCTTGCCAAGCTTACTGCTGCAACCAAGATAGAGTCAGTACGAGGATCCAGGTCTCTGTCATGGTTTGATGACTCCAGTCAGTGGGAATTGTCCGAAGAGGAAACTTGGTGTAAGACAAGATGACTTTGAGTCACCTGCAGCATGAGCGCCACACCTAAAGCTCCGCTGCAGGGGAGACACTAGAGACTTGATGGCAGCAGTGGCTCCCCCAAAAAGGAATTTGCTCTTGCTAGAGTTTGATTCTTAGATGCAGGTTAGGGTGTGGGCATCTAGGTGAGTGAGTAATCCTGGAGGATGGAGATCGGAATGGGGGGTTGTGACAGACGCCATGTAGGGTGCCTTTGCGATAATCGTAACATGAGATAAGAGTGTCCTGGTGTTGATCAAGGAAAAGAATGGTAGAAGTTCCAGGAGGAGGTCCCAATAGTAATCATGAGAAGACACACGGGTGACATGTATGTTCTGTTTGCTATTGTTATAGTTATATATCACTGAGTAAAGACTGACTCATAGTTTACCCTCCAGCAGATTTTCAGAGGCTATAAATCGCACAGGAGACTGCCCAACTTTCTCCCTGAGAAAGCTGAACTCTCCTTGAGCAGCTAGTGGATTCGAACCATGTTCCTTTCTGTTGACAGCACAATCCTTACCACTAAGCTATCAGAGCTCCTTGAATTGTCATTAGTATTAGATATAATCTAACAGAGAAGGGTGTCCCAACCATAGGGCATTACTGGAATTAAGATTTTTGTCCTCTGCAAGTGACAGTTGAGGTAAAGGGTAATGTGAAAGTAGACGTGATCAAGAGGGGACTGTAATCCAGGAGATGTGTATTCTCAACAGGTCGTTATGTGGAGAGACAAGGAACCAGTAGTTAAAATGATCGGCAGGCACTTAGCATTTTTGCAGCCGGGTGTCAAATCCAGTCGGTTGCGGCGCTGCCTTCGCTATGCGCAGGCGCAGCACGGGAAGGCCGCGCCTCTTCGGTTGGGGAGGGGCGGGGTAGGGACGGGGCTTGGTGGCTTCTCTCTGCGCGTGCGCTGAAGGGGCGTGGCGGTCGCACCTGCGCGAGTTGGGGAAGGAGGAGGGGCGAGGTGACGCAGGCGTAATACTAGAGAAGGTGCCAGAAAGATCCAAAACAAGTGGCTGCGGCCGTCGCCCAGGAGTCGCTGGACGCTGGTGTCTGGTGAGGGCCCAGAGAAGCCCAAGGGTGACCAGTGGCCAACAGAAGGAACCACCTGGGCCTCAAGGTGCGTCCAGGGCGAAAGGGTCGGGCTCGGGCCGTACCAAGTGTGCGGAGCGAAGGGCTGCTCGGTCGTCCCCGCTTGGAGGGGCAGAGGGTTCCTTTTGGACGGCAGCACTTGAGCTCTGGGGCACGAGGGGACGGTGCCAGGGGACAAAGCCTAGGGTCACATCCGGCCAGTTCTACCCGGAGGCAAA